ACAATAGGGTCACTATGGTCAATCATAACTTCAGTGTATATTTTTAAATTAAAGAATGTGATTAGATTATTTGTAACTCAAAGAATAAATGCTTGTGGGGAAGTATACATGATGTATTTATTTCACATTGCATGCCTATATCAAAACATCTCATGTATCCCATGAATATATACACCTATGTATCCACAAAAAATATTTTTAAATAATTTAGGCCAGGCATGGTGGTGCACACTTGCATCCCAGCACTTTGGGAGATCAAGGCAGGAAGAGCACTTGAGACCAGCCTGGGCAACATGGCGAAACCCCATCTGTACAAAATATACAAAAATTAACTGGGCACGGCAGCATGTGCCTGTAGGCCCAGCTACTTGGGAGGCAGAGGAGGAAAGATTACTTGAGCCCAAGAAGTCAAGGCTGCAGTGAGCCGTGATCATGCCACTGCACTCTAGCCTAGGCAACAGGGTAAGATCCTGCCTTAAAAAATAAGCAGAAATAAAAGTAATTTTAAAAATTAAATAAATGAACAAATGAATGAATGAACAAACTAACAAACAAATGAATGAATGAATGAGTAAACCAAGAAAGAAAAGGCCTGGCCTACAAGAAACAGCAGATGCACCTGCAGAGAAAGGTGAAGCAAAGACCCAGGATGACAAAGAGATGTCAGGATGATGGGTTTGTAAGAGGCATTGAAGGCAGCCAGTGCGGGGTGAAACAGGCTTCAGGGACTTATATAACTGGTAGAGGTTAGCAAGCAGAAAGTATGAGTTGCAGTAAGTATACAGACAACCAGGCAATTGAAAGTAAAACAATTATTAACTCCAGGAAAAACAAAAACTTGTAAGAAAAAGGTAATCCTAGTTTACCAAATATTAATAGTAAACTGTAAATAGCATTCATAATCATAATATAGACATTATCCTTATCAAACTTAAAATATGACTTTATTTGGTAGATGAGATTGGAAGCATATATGAGGAAAGTTAAGAGAAAAGAGAGCCAAAAGTCAGCCTCCATAGTAAAAAGTGTAATTCTTATACTGACGAAAAATTTAAAAAAAAAGCAATACAGGCCTATTATTAGGAAAATAGTAAATAACAAAAGAATCAATAAAAGCAGTTGCAGCATTTGCCTCCAAGGAGCAGAAAATGGCAGAAAGAGTGAGGAATTGTCCCTTCAAAAATGTATCTTACAAATCTAGTTGAATCTCTGTATGTATAAAGAACTATGACAAAAAATAAAATTAAAAATAAGTGATGTCTCAGAGCAATTTATCACCAGCTTTGACCTTGGTTCTCTCTAACACTAAAGCTTTAGCAAGCAAGTTAAAAATTTTAAAGTACAAATGTTCCCTTTCTGAAACAATCATTAAGTAATAAAACCTGATGACTGTTTATAAATTTTAAACTAGATAGCAAATGAGCAAATATTATGAATTTTTTTTTAAAGTAAGTTCATAATGTAAGCTACCAAATAATTATAATGAATCAAATGATCTGTATCTCATCCCTCTCTGAAAGTTAAGTTATCTTTAGGTTTAAAGCTATTGCTTTTTAGAAGCCTGGTTCCCGAATGATAGTCCCAGAAGAAATTTAACATCAGCGACCTTTTTCCAAACACTCTGTAAACTAAAATATGTGATACTGACTAAAAATATTTTCTAGAAGATTCAATGGGATGAGAGTGAATGTCAAGGTATGCTGAAAGTCTATGAAAGTAAGTAACAGAGAGTTTTATTAAGTTGTCAGGTATGCCTCACAGAGTATCACAACTACACGATATGTTAGGATAGACAGCTAGAAGTTATTTATTTTCTGAACATATATATATGAACTACGATAATAATACATGTAAAAACCATGATAAATGGTCAAATATTCTATACCTTTAGGGCCTCAACTACTCTGAGAGCCCATGTGGGTAGGGAAACCTCTAATTTGAAGATTTTGTTGACTACCTCCACCTTATTATCTGGCTCGATATGATTTTGGCCAAAAGATGAGAAGACTGAAATAACATCAAATGGCCCCAAACCCTAATTCCAGCTCCTCCAAAGTGAAGTTGGGTGTATAAGTCTCTTTTCTCAACTGTGAAATGGACAAAGAAAATGGCTGCTTGAATAAGATCACTACTCTTGTTATTTAAGCCATGTAGGCAATCTCAGTAAGGCATTTTCTTCACCATGTATTTCTCAGAGATATAATTAATCGTATTCTTCTCAAAGTACTCTTTTGATGAACAGACTCTTAGGAGGACACATTTGTTTGAGGACTAAATCCAAGTTTTGGAAAGCATTAAACAAATTTTATGATATTGTAATAGTCCTATGGAAACTTGCTAAGTTGAAAAATCTACTATGCTCTCACAATTACTAAAAAATCTGTTATGATGCAAGAGAAGTCTAGATTATTCAAGTAATCCAGTCATCCATGAGGAGCCACATATAGCAGACACTGAAGTTCTCCGATACCATTAAAAGCCTCACTCCATTTGGGCACAAAAACAAAGGTGGTAACTGGAACCTCTGCCCCTCAGAGTACTAGATCTTAGGTACTGTCTTGTAGCAAATGCAAAGAAACTTGAAGTTTCAGCTTCTCTCACTAGAGTAAGATTTTTAAAGAACAGCATAATTCTCCAAGCACTTATGTCTGCCAGAGTGTCACAATACAGATGTGAAGGGTGCGGGTCCATTTCCCTACGACCACCCTCTCCATTTTGGAGAATCTGTAGGAGGATTTTAATACGAGCTAGCAGAAACCCACATTTCTATTCAGAGGCTCAAGCTCTTTTATAGCACCTTTTAAAATATTTCTTTTTTAAAAAAAAGAAAAAGAAGGAGGGGGTCATGTGAAGAACCTGAGAAACATGTAACTGAGAAGCTGAAACAGGTGGCTTTAACTCCAGCTCTGGCGTCAGGGCCTCTGAGGCCCTACTGTGTTGAGGTTTTCCAGGACCACCCCCATGGTTTACTGGTTCACTAGAAGACTCACCAGACTCAGCAAAGTCATATTCACAGCTGCAATTTTTTTTATAGCAGAAAGATACAAAGCACAATCAGCAAAGGGAAAAGGTGCATGGGGTGAAATCCAGAGGATACCAGGCAAGTGTCCTAGAGTCTCTCCTGGTGGAGTCACACAGGACACATGTAATTCCTCAATGCTAATCTGTAACAATACAAGTGGGGTGCTTTCTTTCAAGAATGCTCCTTAGAGACTCGGGGGCCAGGGTTTTTACTGGGGGCTGGTCATGTAAACACCCTCTGCCTGGCACTTAACAAAATGCCAGACTTCCAGAAGGAAAAAGAAAGCAGGTATAAACACATTGTGCTGTGTAGTTTGACATGGTGAGCCACTCTTATCCCACTTGCTGGGAACGGTGGGAACTCTCCACAAATCCACATTTCTAGGGGCCAGGCCTGTAAACAGGCCTTTCTAAGAACCGCAGTCTCAGGCCTGCTGCATTAACTCTTTCCTGCATTCACATCTCTAGGTCTCAGTTTCACCATGTCATTTCTCCCTGATTTGCTACTTTGCTGTGGTTACCTTTCAAAAATACAAAGGAAGCTTCCTGTTAAGATGGAAACTGTGTAAAATGGTGGATTCATGGTCTGGGCCCACATCAAGTTACAAAGCATGGCATGAGGCCATTCCTGGAGGTGGATAGGGTTTCACTCTCAAGACCTGTTTTCCCAATAATCACGGTGACTTAATCATTAAACAGTCCCTTCCCCTGATATCACGCCTTCTCTGCTCATCTGTGCTCTCCAATTTTCCCTAAGAGATTGTTTAGTATGAGCTGTTGAGTTCTTCTTCCTCCTGTGTTCTCACCATATATTCAAAGACCAGAAAGTTGAGGTTCACAAAACACTGGAATTTTTTAAAAAAATTCTCATAGATTATCTTTTGTAAAGTACATGAAAAGTAGTTTTATTCCCAGCTAATCATCTTGTGCACAGATGGTGAGAGCAATTCTGGATCAGGCATGACTTTCAACCTCAAGGAAGCACAGTCCACCTGTCTGCCTGTGGAGCCGCCACTTGAGGGCCTGGGGCCCACTGCTGTCATATCTACCTTAGAGACATCAAGACAGATTATTCCTGTATATTTCAATATTCCATCCTGTTTCCAGATGCCCAGTACTCCATGAACTCTTTTGTGAAATAGGGTGGAGAAAATTAAAAAGGCAAGTCAGAAGAACAGGGTTTTGACCTTAGCTCTGACTCTTATTAGCTGCATAATCTCTCAAAAGTCATTTAATGTCTCCAGGCCTCTGGAGTTTCCATGGACAAAATGACAGGCTCAGACAAGCTGCCTTGTGAGTCTACTCCAGTTCTGCCTGGAATTTCTACATTACTTTCCCCCTTAAAGGAATAACCCAGGGTAAAGGTTTGCAATTAATTTGGTGTTAAGTTTCTCCATCACAGTTAGAATTATACATATCTGATCCTTACATTATTTTTTAAATTTTGACTATAACAAAGTCACATTTGTGGACTCCAGTTGTCTTGGGTTTGATGAGACACTGATCGTCTTGCATGGCCTTATACACATTGAGAATGATGTGCAAACAGAAAAGCTACATTTAAAACATGATTTCCAAAATTATAACTTAGGAATTTTTATTCTGGGATGGCTTCATTCATTCAAATATATTCTAAGCACCTACTATACTAAGTGCTATCTATATAAATATAGACACAGAATCATAGATCTAGAACCATATAAACTGTAACAGTACTGAATTTTTCAATACTAATTGCTTTTAAAATCAATATGTGGCATGGAACCTGGCCAACTGACTGGGTGAGAGTCTTACTTCTGAGGAAGTGGAATGGGAGGGGACCCCCATTCCATACTCTGGACAAAATCTCCAAGTACCAACCCTCTAACCATATACTCTTTGAATAAAATTACCACAACAGAAAAAGTATTGCAAATCAAGATATTAACTGGAAAAGAATGGAGGAGAAGAGCAGAAGAAATGAAAAAATCTGCACTCACCGGGACTGTGGCAATCCTTTTTTACTGAGATCTGCCCTCACACGTTCTCCTACATGTCTGTAAATTTCCACTAAGCTGTTTATTGCTGCATCTCGAACCTAGATGTAAAAGAAGAGATCTTACAGCTGCTCTGTCATCCCCCAGCATGCCCTGCTGGGACACAACAGGCCATATACCACCCAATTTATCACACCATTTTACCAGTGCAATTGTGAATACAATCCTTATATACATTTGTCCAGATAAAGCCATGTTTGACAGTTTTCACTTTGCTGACAAAATGTCAAAGGGTGGTAAAACTGTAGGACCCCCACCCCTAAATACACGGTCAAGTCCATATCCTTAGTTCTTTCCATTCTTTGAGATAATTTCAGAAAACTAGAATTTTCAGACCATCTTTCCAAATTAAGAAACAACACTACAAATAAATAAATGATACTGAAAATAAAATACCATGTAAAACACTCTGGATTTAAGTTAAATATTTAATGAGCAACAAAAATGGGTAGTACAGGGTATATGAAGTCCCATATTAAGAAGCTCCTACTCGTAAAAAGGAGATTTTTTGAAAGTCCTAAAATTCAGGCCGGGCGCGGTGGCCCACGCCTATAATCCCAGCACTTTGAGAGGCCAAGGTGGGTGGATCACGAGGTCAAGAGATCGAGACCATCCTGGTCAACATGGTGAAACCCCAGCTGTACCAAAAATACAAAAATTAGCTGGGCATGGTGGCGTGTGCCTGTAGTCCCAGGTACTCAAGAAGCTGAGGCAGGAGAATTGTTTGAACCCAGGAGGCGGAGGTTGCAGTGAGCCAAGATTGCGCCATTGCACTCCAGCCTGGGTAACAAGAGCGAAACTCCATCTCAAAAAAAAAAAAAAAGAAATTCCTAAAATTCTACATTCATTACAGGGCATGATACAAAAACGTTATTCAAGAGCATAAAGAGCTTGTGGTTTAAAGAAGGGAGCAATCACATTCAGGGATGTCAAGGGATGCCATATGAAGAAGGAACCACTGCAATGTGCTTGGAAGGACAGGATTTCACCAGGTTCAGATGGAATGAGATGGATTCTGAATAAGACACAGCCCATGCAAAGGCATGAAAGCAGACATGCACAGCACATGCTTCAGGAAGAGCAAGTACGCCAGTCTGGTCAGACACAGACACAAACTAAGAAAGCAGCATCAAATATCAAATAAGGTATGAGAGACCGCGTGGATTTTTTTTAACCTAGGGAAATTCAAATATGGATTGTATATTATACATCATTGTATCAATGTTAAATTTCTTGAGTGAGAAAAATGACATGAGGTAATTATAAGAAAATATCCTTGTTGTTACACGATCCGCACTGTAATGTCTAGGGTTAAAAATATCATTATAGGCCAGGTGGGGTGGCTCACGCCTATAATCCCAGCACTTTGGGAGGCTGAGGCGGGCAGATCACGAAGTCAGGAGATAGAGACCATCCTGGCCAACATGGTGAAACCCTGTCTCTACTAAAAATACAAAAACTAGCCAGTGTGGTAGTATGTACCTGTAATCCCAGCTACTCAGGAGGCTGAGGCAGGAGAATAAATTGAACCCAGGAGGCGGAGGCTGCAGTGAGCCAAGATCGCACCTCTGCACTCCAGCCTGGGCAACAGAGCAAGACTCTGTCTCAAAATATATATATATATGTATACATATATATATATATGTGTGTGTGTGTGTGTGTATATATGTATAAAATTCTATCTGCATGTTACTTTCAAATGGTTCAGGAAACAAGTATGTGTCTTTATACATATATACGTGTGTACACAGAGATACAAAACAAATGTGACAAATGTTAATGTAAACACAATCTTTCAATTCCTCTGTAGGTTAAAAAATCTGCATATAAAAAGGTAGGAAGAAAAACATTTTTAAAATATAAAATGGAACCAAGGCCAGGTGGTACTGGGGAGGCTGTGCTTAATTCAGGAAGCAAAGATGGGAGTATAACATCAAGGTAGTGGAGAATGAAAGAAGAAGAAATACAATCAAAAATTTACAATTTGAAATACTGAAGGTAACCCTCAGATTTACTGAAGGTAACTTACCATTTTTACATCTCCCAGCAGAAAAACGTAAATCTTAGGCTATATTATCTTATCACCCAAAACCTCATGCTATAGACTGCACTGTGTTTCCCCCAAAATTCAAATGATGAAGCCCTAACTCTCCAACACATTTCAAGATAGGGCCTATATGATGCAATTAAGGGCCGAGCACGGTGGTTCACACCTGTAATCCTGACACTCTGGGAACCCAAGGTCGGAGGATCGCTTGAGCCCAGGGCAACAAAGTAAGCTCCAGCCTGGGCAACAAAGTGACCTCCTGTCTCTACAAAAAACTTTTTTTTCAATTAGCTGGGCCAGGTGGTATATGCCTACTGTCCCAGCTACCTGGGAGGCCTGAGGTAGGAGGATCACTCAAGCCCAAGAGTTGGAGGCTGCAGTGAGCTGATCCTACACTGTACTCTAGCCTTGGAGACAAAGCAAGACTTCGGTGTTTTGGTTTTTTTTTTTAAAGGAGGTGGCCACATATGGTATGGTGGCTTATGCTAGTAATACCAGCAATCTGGGAGGCCCAGAAAGGTGAATCACCTGAGGTCAGGAGTTCCAGACCAGCCTAGCCAACATGGTGAAACCCGCTCTCTACTAAAAATACTGGGCATGGTGGCACCCACCTGTAATCCCAGCTACTTGGGAGGCTGAGGCAGGAGAATCACTTGAACCTGAGAGGCAAAGGTTGCCGTGAGCTGCATTCCACTGCATTCTAGCCTGAGCGACAGAGCAAGACCGTCTCAAGGAAAAAAAAGGCGGAGGCAATTAAGGAGGCAAGTGAAGTCGTGATGGTGGGATCCTAGAATGAGAGGATTAGTGTCCTCATAAGAGAAACCACAGAGCTACGTACATACACAGAAGAGGTCATATGAGCACATAGTGAGACGGCAGCCATCTACAATCCAGGAAGAGAGCCCTGACCAGAACCCGGCCTCCAGAACTGTGAGATAATTAATTTCCGTTGTTTAACTCACTCAGTCTACAGCATTTTGTTATGGCAGCCACAGCTGACAAACACAGATTATCAGTTGATTTTGGTAAAAGAAATAATAATTTCTAATGTGAGAAACATTTTTACATTGAAAAATGAACATATGACGGAAGTAGTCATGCTCTATGCCTTCAATATTATTATTAAAGTGTATCACTTTTGCTTACTTTCTAGTGATAACAGATTTGCTCAAAGCAAATCTCAACAAGGGATCTCTTTAAAGAAAAATCCATACCCAGTCAGCTACTTCGAAAGTCTGGGCCATAAATGTTTAAGAGATTTAGTGGGAAAACTATTAGCTTTAGAGTCAAATATTAATAAGTAGACTTAAGGACCTACTTGGACATTTTGGGAGCTGTGTAACCTAAGAAAAAACACTAAAACTCCTTTGGTCTCAATTCCCTCCTCTGTAAATTAAGCGTTGCTCTGAGGACTGAAAGAAATAACAGTTTCGTTCAACAAATATTAGAATGCCTACTAGCTGAAAATGAAGTTGAAATGCCTACACAGGCCAGGCAGTGACATAAGAAGTGAGTGAGTGCAACAGGCTGAGTGCAGGGTAACAAATGGCACTGGCAGGGAACCCTGGAGGCAGGGACAGAAAACGGCTACAGAGGCTCAGGCAGGTGGACCAGCATCACCCCACCACAAAGGAAAGGAAGCACAGCTTTACCAGACCTGTCCCTTCAAGAAAAGTCAAAAATATAGATCTCCCAAATATACAATCGTTTGAACTCAAAATGTAAAATTAAAACATTCTGCCAACACAAGCATACATACACCCACAAATCCATAGGCTGAAAACAGTTTTACGCCAGCAGTTTGTATCTATAAAGCAATCAACACAATGGCTAGTGTTATCTCTTATCTTTTAAACCAACATCCTTATCCTTTAAAATAATTGCTCCTTAGACCTAGAAAGTTACAGGATCAGATAGCATTTAGGGGTCTAAACTATTATTCACTAAAGAGAAGAAATACAGATGAACAGGTATTCTTTGGTACTGCAAAATAGGACACTCTAATACAGAAGAGGTTTAAATAAAAGCCACTCAGCCAAGACTGAAGGACAATGTAGCTGTTTGCTTCTACGCAGGCTCTCACTGCTCTCACACTGCCTCTCCGTGCTGACCCCTCAGGCTCACCACAGAAAGGCACCCCAACGTGCCAGGCCATGAAGACTGCAAAAAGACAAGAGCCCCATACAAACAGCACGCTCTGCCAGGTCATATATGCATGCTTTACAGAATCTGAGGTCTCCAACTAAGATTTACAGAATCTGAGGTCTTCAACGTCTGCCCATGTTCCTTCCTTCCTCACAGGGTTACTGCACAGAAGTGGGTGTAGAAGCTGGCCAGGTTAATCGCCTGCCCATGGCCCACAGATCTGGAATGGCAGACTGGGGCTCCAAAATACCACCTCTCTGGGGGCGAGCCAACATCTTCTCACTTCAGCACAAGGCATCTTAATGAGTGGGTGCCAAAATAAGGGCTTCCTACAAAGCAAAAAGCTCAAAGGAAGGCTTCCCCCCTAGAATGGGGGACAGGGAAGCAGTCTATAAACTGATGAGACCCTAAACCTACCCTGTCCTCCTAGAATCCAGCACAGTCCCACAGCCAGTGTCTTAGAGAGTGGGTACCCCAGCACCCCAAAATGCTGGCCCAACAGCCCACCCCCAGCACCCAGGCTGCAGCTGAGGCAGGGCCATGCAGGAGTTCTGTCAAGCTGGCAGCAGAGGTGCTCCTTTTCCCTCCTCCTGAGCTCTGTCGGCATAGCCGTCCAGCTGGAGAGAGCATGGCATCAGCAGTGGTCATCGTATGTTTCAAGATGCTTTAGGCTTTGAAAACATGACCAGACTCAGCAAGAGGGCCAGCAGTCAGCATGGGGAGGCCCACTGGATGCAACCCTCTGCTGGCCTCCCTGCCAAGGGGTAGCTGAAGTGCTGGGAAGATGAAATTGCAAGTTTTCAAGCAGAACTCAGGCTTTTATCTGGTCAAGGGATTTCCTATTGTCAG